TACGTTAAATATTCAGCCAGGTGCTTATCCACAATGAAGACATACCAAAGAAGCTTCCAGTACGCCCTGTCTCTCGTATATTGTACGACTGCTGTTCGTTTTCATTTCGCGGTATTATCGTCTCACTTGTATCGCTGTCTACCCCTTGCTCACACACCTTCAACTGCCCCCCTCCCCCAGAGTGGTTTTCATAAGCGTTGCTGAACACAGAAACAGGACAAAAAGCGGTACACTGAAGCCAACTATCCTAACAGAGACGGGCCTGATTAACTGACTGGGTGCGAGATTCTGCCTTATACGTACACACATATAACGCCTGTTTGCCCTTTCAGTCACACTTGTTACCGCACATAATTATGGCCTTGATGCAACCCCCCCCCCCCTTTTTTTTCCAAAAAAAAAGGAAGATGCCGGGTAGTTTTTGACACCATGGCATTAAAGATTATCTCTGTCAGAACTGTGACTAGAGGTACACGAAGACCAAGGTTGCGGATAAACACACGACTACCATAGATACACAGCATGAAATAGAAGAAAATGGCCCTGACAAGCGAGTGTTTTCATTCAACAGGCCAAATGATATGACTGAAATAACATACCAGAAAGGCACTGCCCAGAATAGGAAATTAGCCACAAAGTGGCAGCAGTTGGGTAGCTCGACGACAAGACACACACAGCAGACAAGATGTTCTGACCTAAATCTATCACTATTTTGTTGGTTGTTAAGACTTTTTTTTTTTTGACATTTGATAGTTGATGATTAGTGACAACTATAGGATGCAGTCGTGATGTGACTAGTCTACATGTTTGCGTTACAGGGGAGAGGGGGGTGCTCACAGATTTGTATTGTGGCAACGGGGCGGGTCTGATAATTTTAAGAGATCAAAGACAGCCGAGGTGATATTGCCTGTACATGTGTTCCGCAACCCACTACAAAGACAGCAACTGTGTGGCGTCCCATCTGACAGCTAGCCAAACACAAAAACAAATGTAGATAATAGTTGACTGGTTACACTCGATGTGGGACATTTTAATTCACAAATTTGAGATGTTATTATAGAGACTGCAATCTCGGAAGACAAAACATAACTACCTACTCTAGACCGTTACATGATTAAGCTGACCTGTTTGTTTTTTTCATTACGGCTACATGGACTCCCCCGCGGGGCGCGGTTATTAAAGAACACTGACATATCGCGCGAGCACACACACCCTCCCTCCCCATGCTACCGAAATTGAAGTCAATAATTTAGGCTTAGCACCATATACCCCATGAGAGACGCTGTGGTGTAGCGGCTAGACGCTCGCATGCGGAGCAGGCGATTGTGAGTTCAGGTCCAGGCGGTACGTGAGCCAGCCATGAGTCGGTTCCCGGTGGAGTCCTGCGAAGTAAAGGCGGCCGGCGTGATGGTGACCACAGAACCCAAGAGGTGTCGAAATGTCTATAAAATATGCTTTAAACGCCTGAATGCGTAGTAATTGATCCTCTACTTCACCATTCTTTGAATGCAGTACAACGGCACTGAACCCATCTCCCCTGGATTTTTTTTTAAGCAACGAACTCTTTTTTACGCCAATAGTGCTTGACATGTTATGTAAACCAATCGGTCTGCAATGAGAGATGCCAGCATCCCGCGCCCATGTTCACGATGCACAGTCCTTTCCCAGATTTTCTGGTGTGAATTTCCTAACAGGTCCTCTCAAAATGCATTGCAAACATTAGCTCGCTGTATTTGATAGCCCTAGACCTTCAGGTTGGCAGGTCTGCATCTAACCACTGCGTTAACGCGGTCTCCATTTATATTTGTGTCCGTTATTATCGAGCCAACGAGAGAGAGAGAGAGAGAGAGAGAGACTTAACGTTATCACATAGTTCACTTAAAAGAAAGTTCATTCAGTGAGTTAGCGTGGGCGGTTCATCATTTCTGACGGCAACACTTGACACTGACAGGGAGACACGACCCTCCCCCCCCCCCTCCCCCCACGTGCGCCCAGCTATATAATCCCTGCACTTTGGATATTTTCTTACCTCAGTCTGTGGTGGACTGGGGAAAGGTCATGGTTGGGGGGGGGAGGGGGGGGGGTTAACCAGTCTACATATGTATTTTCCCCTCTCGTTTCGAACTGATCTCGACAGGTGCAGTCTTATAACCAACTAAAGGGCCTTGTTTTAAAAAAATGCACACAATATATCAAAAGACAAAAAGGCCCAAAATCATCAAAGTCAAGCCACCCCCCTCCCTCCTTTTTTTTAAACACTCAACCCCAGGTGATTTACAAAAGCAATTGTTTCCTTTCTTCATTCATACAGCCACAGATGTGCTACTTTTTAATTAGCTGTCATACGCAAGAGAAGTCACCACGCCACATGTGTGTTCTATATATAGGTGGCGAGACAGGAGCGATACATTTTAAGATGCGGCTTGCACAGGTAATATAAAAATCAAGCATCGGATTAAATACATTCGCAGAAATAACAACAAAAGAGCATTCATAAGTTCCCGCCAGATTATTCAGGACGTGTGCAACTTGGCCACACACACACGAACGACAATAAAAAAAAGCCACCTTCATCCCGTTCACAAACCACACGACAGAAACAATGAAATCTGTCCGCCAGGACTCAAGAGAGGCTTGCACTAGAAGTCTAGACCCACATATGTGTCTACAACAGGGCACCGACACCAACTCCATTCTTGCTTCTGCTTATATGACTAACGGCCACAAGTTCAATTTGTGTTCGCTCTTCCACTCAGTGATTAGCATAATACGCTGTAGGAAGAGCAACGATGGCGGGAACAACAAGTCAGCGGCAGGTGGAGCACTAGGACTTAAGTCCTCTGGCCGCCACTTCTGAAATGTTCTTTCAACGAACATGAACAATGAAAGTACCAGGTAGATTTGTTAAGACTGCTATTCTATCAAAAGGAAAACGCCCAGAGTCGCTAGAAGGCAATGCTATGTGAAGTCTAGCGATGCTAGGAAGAATAGCAAAACACAGAAAGACAGAGAATAAAAGCGTTTGGGTAAGCTGTAAAGCAATGGCTCTCCACCTTCCTAATGCAGAGACCCTTTAATACAGTTCCCTCGTGTTGTGGGGACCCCCAGACAATTATTTTCCTTCAATAAATATGTGTTTTCCGATGGTCTTATGCGACCCCTGTGAAAGGGTATTTTGACCCAAAAAAGGGTTCCAACCGGCAGGTTGAGAACCACTGCTGCAAACGAAGGTGTAATGAATTGGTAATTTCACTAAATAAGACAGCCTACAATCCTAATCAAAGTTCTATTTTTCTGCACTCTTCCTTAAAGAGGGCGACTGGCAAGTTGGGTTGGTTTACAGCTAGGCTGCGATGCCTGCGACTTTGGGCCCTACATATCAGATCCTTGGCGGTCTTGAACAACATACCAGTAAAGGGGCACTGGATCTTTTATTTGCTCACCCCAAAATGGAATACACGAATCTACTTCCAATACACACGAACAATACATAATAGACCATGTCAGATAGCAGATGCATTCAAATACAAGTAACATATCGTTGGTACAGCTCCGAAGTCGACTAAGTGTTGAATCCATGTTTCTGAGAAAATCTCATGTGAACTGCGTGGCAAATGAAAATTGTGTAGTTGCGGGAAAAGTAATAATTTATTCTGACCTTTTGTGGGTAAAACTGGTCACACTTGCCCCAATATTGTCGACATGTGTGCTAGACTGAACATGTGTGCTGCTGCAGACTAGACATGTGTGCTAGATTAGGCATGTTTGCTGCTACAGACTAGACATGTGTGCTAGATTAGGCATGTTTGCTGCTACAGACTAGACATGTGTGCTAGATTAGGCATGTTTGCTGCTACAGACTAGACATGTGTGCTAGATTAGGCATGTTTGCTGCTACAGACTAGACATGTGTGCTAGATTAGGCATGTTTGCTGCCACAGACTAGACATGTGTGTTAGATTAGGCATATTTTCTGCTACAGACTAAATGTGTGCTTGATTAGGCATGTTTTCTGATACAGACTAAACATGTGCTAGACTGATCATGTTTGCTGCCACATACTAGGGATGTTTTCTGCTACAGACAGGATACCTGAGCTAGACTGGACGTGTGTGCTAGACTGCATGTTTGCTACTACAGACCAGACATGTGTGCTAGACAAGGCTTTACTCTTTTTCCAGAACTTCAATCAACTTTCAGATCTGCTTTTTTGCATGTAGACTGTTAGTTCCTAGCATCTGAGGCAGATCCGTTCCGACTTTTGAGGGAAAATTCCTGATTAGTTGCCTTTTACGTCATGCTTGATAGGGAGGCAGTGTGTCTATTATCTTTAGCCCGAACATGGAGACATACGACAGTGTTATATTACCCTGCATGGAGGCAAGTAAACCACAGCTTAACAAGACCAATTCGGGCCAGGGATGGAGTTCATTCTCTCTAAAGCATAAAGCCTGAGCAGTATTGTTGAGATCATGTGCTGCCCATGCAGCAAGATCCCTCTCCTGGCTTGCTTTGTTAACCCACAAGGAAAAGTAACACCGAATATTTTTTGGAAAAAAGACAAAGCATGATTACCAGTCATCCTACTTCATAATACTATGACCTCGCAGATGTGAAGCTTTTTCCTGTCACACCTCTATAAGTGTCTGCCCCTGAAGCATGTTTAGCCACCAAAAGAGCACCTTTAGAAATACCCATCCCAAATACTGGAACCTATCATAAACATTTGAAAATACTAATCTTAAATACTGGCAATCCATCATAATTATGTAGAAATACTGATGCCAAATACTAAACCACTCACCATGCATATCTGGAAATAACGACCCCAAAAACTAATCACCTGTCATGAACACTTGAAAATACTGGAACCAATCACAAACGCTTAGAAACAGTGACCCCAAACAGTGGCTGCTAAACACAACAGCGAATAAATATTTACTTCACAAACACCACAAATTTACAAGGATGAACAAGGAACGCCACATCTGAACACTTACCTAATGGTGTCCAATATCTCTTCTGGACCATCCTTGCCCTCCTGAGGAAATGAAAACATACAACAGCTGATAAGAGCAGATATAACTGAGTCAAACATTTTCAACATGATTTTAATGAAAGCAAACTAATCCTACAGGTTCTCATTTTTGGAGTCATTGGTGTTTTTTCTCTGAATGTGCGCTTTAACACCCCCCCCCCCCCACAAGGCCCAATAAATCTAGTCATTTCCAGCTGTGACACAACAACATAACTACAGATACAGCATGATTTCTGCAGTGACCGGTTCTCGAAAAGCTGAGTTAAAGGTCACTGGCTCTAATTTGCAATTGTGCAGTGTTTAATAGGCGAGGCTATGAATACAGTAACAACAACAAAAAATAGCAACTAGGAGGGTTTCTTTGTGACCTAAATGGCTATCTCTTTAAAGTCAAAGTTTACCAGAATGTTCACATAAACCTCAGTGACAGAGACCACAGCATGTTGGTTGTCAAACAAATTATCCTGTAAACCTCAGTGACAGACGCCACAGCATGTTGGTTGTCAGACAAATTTGTATGTAAACCTCAGTGACAGAGACCACAGCATGTTGGCTGTCAAATTTTTTTTTCTGTAAACCTCAGTGATGAAGGCCACAGCATTAGTCAATGGATATATATGGTTTATCAGGTCCCAGGGAATGTTCATGTTTATTGATTAGCCCTTTTATATTCATCATAATTTTCAAACAAATGCCAGAGTTTACAGCGGGTGCATGCTAACAAGATTAAAGGTCACCTTTTACACCATGCACGATAGAGGCCAGTCCCCCCCCCCCTTCCACTAAAATTGGGGCCCCATAACCAAGAGGGTGAAATAAAACCATTAACAAAGAGTTCATTGAGTTAACTAAACAATTTCCTGCAAATTGAGAGGTGAAGAAAAGATGCTGGAGCCGAATAAGACACACGAGATTTAGGGAAATCACATATTTGGGGGGGGGAGGGGGGGGGGGGGGGTGTTAAATGAAAGGCCACGCAACTAACTATACCCTCCCTATGATATTCCCCCAAATTCTTTGCAACTAAACAAAAGAGAACCGAAAGAATTAGAGACACAAATAAATAATACAGGGAAGACAAGGCTAACCAAATGAGATGACAATTGCCAGGACGGCTCTGTGCAAGAAAGTTGAGATTCAATGCTTTGTTGGAGAAATAGACACAAGAAGAATGTGTATAAATTTAACGTCTAGGCGTAAATTACAACAGATTTTTATTTCAGTAAGTTCTGTGAGTCTTGAGTTTCAATCCGCATCAAGGCAAACCAATTTTTAATAACTGGCCTCCCCCGTGTGGGTTACGGGGCCCTATTATAGAGAAAACAAGAATAGACCCACCGTTTACCCAAAAGCATGGCGTAAGAGCTGACTAATTGGGAGCTTCCTTCGAAGTCGGAGCGCATCTGCCTGAGAGACAAGGAACCAGCAGTTTGTATTCAAATGAGTCAGATCTGTAAAATGGATGCACACACAACACTCTAGAAAAGGACTGCAGTCCAAAAGTGGATGAACAACCAGAACTTTCTGCCAGAGTTTACAGCTGATGAATGCGAAGAAGAAGAAACTGACCTTGCCTAAAACAATGACCAGGACACTGAAACGTTAGAACGGGTGTAGAGCGAGTAAAAGACCTCGGAAAATATGGAGTGATGGCATTAAGAACAGCCGTAAAGAAATAAACATCAGTCTTAATCATGAACTTCTTTAGTTCCAGTGAGTATCCCTCAAAGATGTCCATGAACATTGCACTCTGGAACTGAAAGGAACCCATGACCTTCTGAGAGCAGCAGACAAGAGCACTTAACTATGGAGACCCCTGATCTAGTGGAGTAGATGGAATCTCTTCTTTACTTCATCTTTTAACGCTTCAGGTGGATCTAAAGTTCTGCATCTTGCTATTCTTGCCACTTCAGCTGAAAATGGAGTACTAAGGAATATTTCCATTGATAATGGTCCTTGTAGCCAGACAGTTGTCAGTAAAAATGATCCCAATCTTTTTTCTTATAGTCCATGCCGTGTGACATTGCTAGACATATCTCTGTATGTGCCTCACCCCAGCTTTTCCATCATAACAATATACTCGGGTTTTTAGCAGTTTTTGCAGTCATGATCTTTCTTTGTACAACACAGTAGGTTGCAGTTTGTTTCTGTGAGAGCAGTGCCCAACTTTTTAGTGGTTCACCACTTTTATCCTCACCTGTCAGCTATGATTTCCTTGTAACCATGCCCCTGATCGAGTGGCTAACCAGGTTGGTTTTTACCTATGCTTATAAGGTGTCCCACATGCAAATATGTATCTATGGTGCTGTGTGTAATGAAAGTCTATGTGTGAGGAAATGAGCATAGATGACTAAAGATCCATCTTTGTGTATGTTTTAATTCAGAACAATTACGGGTGGGGGGCACAAATACCACCTGTCCGCATGAAGGCTGGAGATTACTTCTATGAAACTTCCATAAGAATACTTTTTGGGGTTAAGGAATAACCCAAACACATAAATGACAAGTAAAATAATGGACCTCATTCTAAACTAGGCAATGTTTTGGATATCAGCTTAAGAGTCCTTAAGAGCTGTACTGAGCTGCCATCATATTGTATGGAAGTAGATCATGGACAATCAATCATAACAAAATCAGCAGGTTAGTAAGAAATTATGTGGATGATATGCTGTTACACAAAAGAAAAGAATGATACTCGCACTTGAAAGTACATTTAATGACAATAATGATATGTACACATTAAAGTAAACTAGAAAGTACATTTAATGACAAGAATGATATGTACACACAAAAGTACACTAGAAAGTACATTTAATGACAAGAATGATATGTACACACAAAAGTACACTAGAAAGTATAATGACAAGAATGATATGTACACACAAAAGTACACTAGACGTCTATGAAGGGTTCCAGAACAGATAGGAAACTATGGCCGTAGGACTGGATTTCGAGGATGCTCATAACAGAGTGAGATACGACATCTTAATGACTGCACTGAAGGAGAAGAAGGTCAGTCCATGGCTGGTGAATTGGGTTGCAGCTGTCCTGTATTCACGTCGGGTTGCTCTCCGACTGGGCTCATGGACCTCAGAACCATGCACTTTGGTTCCAGGACTGCCACAGGGATCCGCCATCTCGTCTGTGCTCCTTAACATGTATATGAGCAAGACTGCAAGCCTAGAAGCACCAAGAGTTGGAAGGATTCTAACATTTGTGGATGATATACTTGCATATAGGCAGGGGGAAGAGGGGGAACAAACAGCCTGGGAGCGACAAGCGACAGTAGACAAAGTGACTGAGTGGTGTACAGCAATGAGGGCTGATGTCCACCCGGAAAAGGCGTCTGTTTTGTGAAGTTCTCTGGACAACAGAATCGCTAAAGCTCATGTCCCAAGTCTCACGATAGATGGTAGAAACGTCAACAGAGAGAGCAAACTGAAGTATCTGGGAATTACATTTGACAGGAGCCTGTCATTTAAGGACCACGTGGAGTGTTGTGACGAGATGCCAAAAAAGGACTTAGTGCACTTAAGACTATGACTGCAATTGACATAGAGCAGAGAATGCTTTTCACACTATTTCAGCACCTGATCCTGTCGGTGGTTGATTATGGCCTGGGACTGCTACCGTCTCAAAGAGTCAGATGGACAAACTAGAGCGCATACAGAACGCGGCTATGCGGGTCATTCTGGGTTGCACCAGAGACACCTCAGTGGTGTGTATGCGATACATCCTTGGTTTGCTGACGATTGCAGGTAGGAACAAGGTTTGCATCCTTGAGAACATTAGACGAGGAGAGGAGTGGGTCAAAGTGCCACCTAAACAGTTAGACTTGTGTAGAGTCATAATCACGCTGAGCCGGGAATGCAGAGACTAGCCAGCAGGTGCAACGGACGTGGAAATTCAGCAATTAATTCAAGATAATGCTCGCTCAGAGGATTTGATCATTTACACAGAAGGTTCAGTGTCAAGAGGCAAAAAAATTGCTTGGGGCTTCTTAGAAAACGTTAATGATCGACGTTTGGTGCAGGAGAGCAAGGTATATGATACCACAACATCCAGCTTAATCCTACCAGAGCGCTGGCCCAATTTTCTGGGAATTTCCTAACCAGCCGCTATATCACTGGCCCCATTTTTCGGGAATTTACATAGTACGTGAAAAATATGCGTCACAGACTAAAAATAACCAGCCAATCGCCATCAGACTTCGTTGTTATTCATTGCGAATGACTTCCCAAGTGTGTTGAGATTTCTTTGTGTGATTTGATGTGGAAAAAGTTCGGAAAATTTTCGATGAAACGAGCGGCTTCGACAAGAAAGTATCGTAGGTCTAGGCTTTTCACAGTCCAACAGGTGATCGATACTTTGGTTAATTCAGACTGTGAATACGTTCATGAAAAATACGTTCCCAGTTGAAGTGACAGTCAGTGAGAGCTAGAGTGAGGAGGAGAATTATGAAAATTATAGATTTAAAACTAGATCGATAGTAAGAGAAAGGGGCGTGTCCCTCAAACAGCAACATCTGGTGCTTACTTTATGAAACAAGACTGATCCTACTAGGTGTATTGGCACACAAAGGTGGAAGATTGGCACTAGATGAAAGGTAAACCTATTTTCTACAATGTCTCCAAGTTTTAACTTATTCTAACCACTTGTTTGCATGTAACTAATTTTTTTGTACATCATGTTGGTTTTTTCGTGTTAGTGCCCATGAGCTCAGGTTATAGGGACTGTTAGGTTCAGGGCCTTAGGTCTGTTAGGGTTAAGAATGGAGGCGGTCACTGCAGCTTTCTGCTGGCTAGAGAACATGACACACACACACATCGTGATTGTAACTGACTCAGAAAGCATGCTGAGGAAGATCAGAACAGGTAAGCTACGTGCAGAGTGGCGCGCTTCGCTGCGGAGGACAGGTGAGGAGTACTGTCAGATTTTTTCACTGGGTCACGCCGGTGTGTTGGGAAATGAACAGGCAGACAGACTGGCTGTGCACAACTTGGTGGAATACTGATACATGATAAGACAGACGTGGTTAGTGCCTTGTGGGAGAGCGTGTACAGTTCAGAGGAGCAGATGAATCATCAGTCTGGTGAGATTGATGCAGTTGGGGGTGACGAGAGGTTCTGGCAGATGTTCGAGGCTCAAAGGAAAGACAAGACGGACGTTTAATCAGAATGCTACTGACACCATTAGTATTGGAACTCCCACGTGTGGGTTCCGGGGCCCCATTGTAGGGGAAAACAAGAACAGACCCACTGCCTCCCCAAAAGGATGTCGTAAGAGTCGACTAATTGGGGAGCTTCCTTTGAAGTCGGAGTGCATCTGCCGGAGAGGCAAGGTACTAACAGTCTGTTTTCAAGAGAATGAGATCTGTAAAACTGATGCACACGCAACACTCAGGTTCTGGAGCAGGACTGCAGTTCAGTAGTGAACGACCAACCAGAACGTTCCGCCAGAGTGTACAGCTGGTGAACGCGAAGAAGAAGTATTGGAACTCTTCGCTGGCTGCTGAAGATGGGGATGGAGCGCTTATGGGAATGACCTGAGTGCTGTGATGTCGGTTCTTGAATCAAATCAAAAGCACACTAGAACGTACATTTAATGACAAGAATGATATGTACAAACAAAAGTACACTAAATGACAAGAATATGTACACACAAAAGTACATTTAATGACAAGAATGATTGTACACACAAAAGTACACTTAATGACAAGAATGATTGTACACACAAAAGTACACTTAATGACAAGAACGATATGTACACACAAAAGTACACTAGAAAGTACATTTAATGACAAGAATGATATGTACACACAAAAGTACACTTGTCATTCGTGATCATATGAAGCAGACTTGTTTTGCTTTTTTATTTAGTTTAATGTATGTTTTTATTCTTTCATATGTTATCCCCGTGTGGGTTCCATAGCCCCTTCGTAAGGTTACAAAAGGAAAAATGAATAGGCCTGCTGTCTCCCTAACAAGCATTTCAATAAAAGTCAATTAATCAGGGTTGTTTCTTTCACAGTCGGAGTGCATCTGTCTGAGAGGCAAGGAACCAAGAGTCTGTATACATTTTAGCCAGGTCTGGGCTATCCTCCAAATAACGGTCCTAAATTATCGAGGCGGAAAATATACCCTAACAGGGCCTCAGTCACGTGTCAATTGTGCACTTCCGTCGACTTAAATTGCGCGCTTCCGGCGAATTCCACCACCGCCGAGAGTATCCCCACGCGGCGTGGATTGGGGCTAAACTAGATGGCTGGGACTCTCGAGCCGCAGCCACCGCATCTCCTGCAGCTTCCTTCATTTTATTTGCATGTGAGTCCTAGCCATCTAGTTTAGCCCCAATCCACGCCGCATGAGCGGCATGGGGGATACTCTCGGCGGTGCCGGAGGTTGCCGAACGTGTGCACTTCGGCGGTGGCGTTATAGTCCCCGGAAGTGCGCAATTGACACGTGATTGAGGCCCTGTTAGGGTATATTTTCCGCCTCGATAATTTAGGACTGTTATTCGGAGGATAGCAAAGGTCTGTAAAACGGCTGTTAATGTACATGCAAAACTCAAGTTCTGGGAGAAGACTGAAGTAAAGTTTGGAAGTGGATGAAAAAAACAGAACTTTTCAATGTACAGCTGTTGAGCACAAAGAAGAAGAATATATATATTAAAAATCATAGATTAGCAGACAGACATCGCCAAGTACATATTGCCAAAGAGAACTTAGTTATAATATTTGCATCAGAAAAAAGGCAGTACTTAATACTACTAAACTACTTATCTTCCACATAATTTCTCACTAACCTGCTGATTTTGCTATGATTGATTGTCCATGATTAACTACTACATGGAATAAAAAAAATGGGCATTCAACATTAATTTTAGCTAATTTATTGTATTAATAAATAGTGAGCAGGGGAACTGGTTCATGCTGTGTCTATGTCAGCAGGAAAGTTGGGAGGAGAAAAAAGGCAGAGAAAGACGAACGAATAAGATATACAATATCAATATAATTTATGATGGCATGGTGACATGGGGGAACATGAGCAAAAAAGAAAATGAATTTAAAAAATGATGATATATATTATATAGTCATACTAGCAGTCACTCCAGAAGAAGACTGGACAGATATGGGGAAAGATCACCATGGATGTGAAAATGCAATTTAAACTACATTTATGCTTTAAAGAATTAAATAACCAGTAATATCGCAACTTGCATAAGTTTTCAGTAAAAGACTGAATGTGTATTGGATTGGAACTAAAGTGATCAATAAGCGATTTACACGCCATGTCCAGAAACTGGCCTAATCAATGGCATGGGAAACATTGAAGACCCGACCCATTATATATCAATCAGATAATTAGCAAAATCATGAAACAGTAGGCATTGAAAACAGTAGAAAACTATATCTCTAGGCGCACGTTCTAGTAAAATCCCCAAAAAATAATCCACCATCAATTCAACAAAAATTAAAACGAAAACCCGGCCTGCCCGAAGACAGCCATACAATTTGATTCCATCATCATGTTTCTTGCCAGTACTAGTATCCTCCCCCATACATTACCACAACATAAATTACTTACCGAGGTCGGTACCGGCCATTTCAGAATTAAAGGATCCGATCCCACAGGACTATGCAACTTTAACTTCTGGGTCATTGTTCCAACCAT